CTACGTGACGTGAGAAATTCTAGAGGCAGACAAGATTTTAATTAACTTTGATCCCCCCCCGCCCCTTATGCTGCACAGAAAGAGGCCATTTCAGTCCTTCAGCAAAATGCCACTAATCTGCAAAATGCCCATTTTGTCCAGTGCCGAGGATGAGATCCGCGTTACGCTGATAAGTTTACTTGTTTTGGAACTGGAACTTCTATCAGCCTTTTATCATAGTGATGAAAAACTATTTTGTATTTCACAGCATTCATAAATGAAAATGATAATGAAAAATAACTAATCAGCTGAAATGGAAAAAAATTGACCTTTAAACAAGTGAATTAAGTGCAGGGCTGCTTAATGACAACACAAGCTCTTTTCCCTGACAGTAGCAGTGCACACTTAAACCCGTCCTTTTCTGCTCATCATTAGAAACTAGTATGACAGCCATGGTTACGCAAACAACAGGTACATATTCACTCAGAGATATGCTGAATTTTCTGACTGCAGAGATAGAGGTGGATCATGTGAATCAATCAAGTAACAGAGAAGTTACAATATAAATAAAATATCATTCAATGTTGTCATTACTTCAGGCTTTTTTCTAGTATCTCTTATTTCAGGAAGAATCTAACACCAAAAGAGTTCCATGGAGTGATTACGATCATATGAATTGTGTTGATAAAGAGAAGTCTTAAATAATCCAGCTATGGTTAGCTAGATTTGTTCATTCTCAGAGATCAGTGCTAAAGTAATAAAAAAATGATAAGCAGAACAAGATGAGACATTTAGCACAGCTTTTTTCTTTCTTCTCATTCTCACAGTAGCTTTACAATATATTTTTCAAATATTTAGGGCATAGCTGGTGAAAACCCAGCTGCTTCTCCAAAGTGAACCACTAATCTATTATAGAATCATAATTCATAATGATTTAGAACCATGATTCATAATCACAATTAATTATCAATCTAAAAATATTTCCTACTTCATTAGATACTGATTAATTTATTTTAACCTTTTAAGCACTTATTCCTTGCCTGTAAAAGCTGATAAAGTATTAAAGACTTGGGAATATGATTTAATAAACAACTTGACATAATTTAGGAAGACATGAACTGGGAACACCAGGTTCAGGTGTGTTGGTTGTCCTGATCTCAGTATCATTAAAACTGTGAACAATGAACGAGTGAATTCTTTCAAATAAAGGCAACTCTGTGAAGAAACAAAAACTTCTGGTACCCCAGTACCCAGAAATTAGCTCTTAACAGGTCACCTTTGTTTTGTCTTGCAACAGCAGTGGCTGCCATTTTTGTCCCTCCGTGTCTGGCCTGATGTGGCAGGGTGACAGAATCTCTTACTTACCTCTACACCTTCTCTTTAGACACAATTTAAAATAATCTCCCAAGTGTGGCTACTATTTTCTCCCGATTGTTTTGAGACGTCCATCATGCGAATCCATGACCAACATGAGCAACAAAAAAGGCTGATGACCACATATCTTAACAGCAGGTTCTGAGATCCACAAAACGTCACAGATTATAGAAAGAAGATGCCTAGCCTCTCAAATTTCCTAAATACACACAAAGTTTTAATTAACATGTGCAAAAATCAGGAACAGAGGAGCAAGGGAAAAAAAGACGACAATATAATCCTCTGTCTATTAGGATACATCTCATGTGAGCTAGAGAAGGTCCCAACTTCCTCAAAACAAAAAACTATTGCTCTTCCTGTTTCTCTCAGGGTGCACTATTAAAATAATTTAAATAAACGAATACTACCAAAATAAGAGAGCAAGGAACAACAGTATAATACTCAGCCCCATTAGATGGCAGCACTTTGACAAACATCACCTATTGGTGAGCTGTACACGGATCTTCCCACACACCGACAACTCTATTCCTTGAAACTGATACACAAGCTCAGTATGTCTTCTAACTAGTGAGGCAGCCCAGAAAAGCACAGCTTATTTACCTTCGAGAAGCTTATTTGCTATTAGGAAATGATTTTTGTATTGCTGCATTCTCAAATTTTCGTGGTCTTAGTAACAGTGGTGGTTTAATCATAAATAAAAGTAGTAGCTTCATAACGCGGCAATGCTGTAACATTTGAGGGGGAAAAAAAAAAAGGTGTGGAAAATGAGGTCTATTTTAAATGCCAAAAGCCATCATCAACATTTTAAGCAATAAAAACTGACACCTTAGAAAAGATTAATTTTAAATTTTGGTTTATTTTATTGCTGAAATATAGATTGCACAGTGTGTTCTGACATTTATTGAAACCTGCTCATTACGTACAGTACAGAAAATACGACCATCAGAAAAACAGACCAATTAGCCCTACTCCGAGTTTGGACAACAGGCTATTTCTACCTTTTGAAATTAACAAGGATTTAATTTACTATAAAGTGACCCACTAGCAAAAGCTATAATTTTTCAAAAGGACGTAATGGAAAAGAGAACCCAAAGCAAAAGCTGGAATACATTTAAACAGCTGGATACCAATTTATAAACGCTGTGACAGCACTCAGTGTGCTGCAGATAATACAGGGCCAGGATGCACACGGAGCTTTTAAGTTCTGCAACTTGTCTCAAGAACATAAAGAGACAAGTAAAACAAAGCAGCTTTATATTGTACAACAGCACTCTCTACTCATCTGGGCTCATTCATTAGCTACATATAACAATAGCTACCAAAACAATACATTTTACAGTCACTCCCATCTCCCAGCTGTCTAGAAAGGCCAGAGTGAACCAATTATCAACTTACAGTGTCCCTGAATTTCCAGAAAGGAAGAAATTAAACACCATGTGAACACACAGAGTGTTACAAGCTCTTCATTCCCTGCACAATACCTGCACGACACCTGCATTTCCCAAACAAAGCTCATTTGAACATTGAAAACATGGAAACCTACCATTAGCATCAATGAAAAATACTTCATCAACAGAATAGAAAATGGAAACGCTGAGTCTAGTTATTTTCACATGCAGCATTCATGCAACAGAATTCAATCCCAGAAACAATCCTGTATTTACAGCACAGTCTCCATACTGCAAGAGTGCAAACAGAAGTACATTCTTTATTTCTTAGACTTCTTATTTTCTTTTTGTACAAAAGTGCACAGTGTTATTCTTTAAAAATGACAGTGGTCAGTGTTTTACATTGTATCCCTAGGTTAGATTTACTATTTAAAAAATTACACTCTTTATATAGGCCAAAAAGCTATTATGTCTTACCTGAAAAAAAAAAAAAAAAAGTGAAAACTAAAAGCTAGAGTTCTATTTATGTGTAGACTGTGGTCTGATCAGGCTGATACGCTGCAGCAGTAAAAATCACAACGGAATGCTGTAGATAAGGGGCTGTTTCGTCATCCACTAACAGCTGTGATTGCACTGTTAAACTGAAAAGAAGGTCTCAATTACCTTTTGAGTTTCGTCAATGCTTTCTGAAAGTCTCAGCACGTTATCTCATAGGTTTAAGTAGCTGATACGTCTCTCATGTTATGTCACAACAGGCTTTTAAAAGTAGTCCCGTGGCATACTGTACTACAGTTCAAAAAACTTCAGTGCATTTGCAAATGCTCAAAAGAGCCAGCAGATTAGCTGGGCTGATAACCATCCAGATCTTGGAATTATGCAATCATTGATTAATTTTGGTTGGGACTTCTGAAGGTCATCTAAACCCAGCTCCTGCTCAAAGCAGGGCTAATTGAAGTTAGATCACTTCGTTCACGGCCTGATGACTGTTTATCTACACTGGTGGCTTCCTTAAACATCTTAGATTTATTATAGATATTTGAGAACATTCATTCATGTTCATGATTCAGACAGATTAAGGGACTTCAAACTTACTATTCATGGCATCAATGAAAGCCATTTTTCCTTTTTGCCTGCAGAATTTAGTGAGTCATAAAGACAGTCTTGATAATTATCATCAAAAGCTCAGTGATTTACTCTATGGGTTTTACTCTACTTACATTTGAATAGTATACTCAGATACATAAACCTATGACAGTTACCACATTTTCCTTATTTCTAGAAAGGTTTGAGAAATGAAACAAAAACGAACACAGAGATGCATCTCCAAAAATGCTTTTGCTTGAAAACATATTTAATAAAATTTTGGTCTTTAAATGGTTTCGTCTACTTTTCTTTCAATTTCTAAAATATCATTAAAAAGCTGTAATAAACCACAGAGAAATACCTCATAGAATATATTTTTAATTTCTGTACTTATGATTTAAAATGCCCTCAGTTTATTTTCTGTTATACTAAATATATCTCTTGTGTATTTATACTAAAGCAGACAGTAAAATACTACTGCATTCTCAAAAGTACAGTCTGTAAACCATACACCTTAAGACATGAGAAATATTGCACAATTCCGTGCTTCAGGAGTACATTTCTGCTCTCTTACGCAAAGCAGTTAACGTTTAGCAACAAACATAGGACATATACTGGGCGTATATATCTAAAAAGCATGTTGTCTGATGCATCAAAAAACTACTTAACAAGTGTCCATTAATTCATTTACTGCACTTGAACACATGTAAGGTATTGTTTTTTTTCCATATATTCCAAAACAAGTTGACCAGCCATGATAGCATGAACGAAAGGGAGCTAAGGCAGCGGTCCACTGGCTACATTTATTAGGATGAAGCAAGCCAAAAGCATTCTATTTGGATATATAATTGAGGTGGAGAGGAGGAAAAAACAAACAAACAAACAAAAGCTTTTAACAGCTTCTTCAGTTACAAGGCCTCAAATTAAAGGAATTTACAGAAATACAAATTCCTAGAGTAACTGAAATGTTCACCTATATGGCAAGACAAGTTTTAAATCTGACTTCTACATGTACTCAGATATGAAAATGAAGAAACATGATATATGAAAAAACCTAACTTCAAATATATTACAGAAGAACACAACTCAAGACAGTCTTATGAATTTGGCTAAAGTAATCTGCATTTGGCTCATGTCCATCATTACTTTAAAGTTAGTTTAGATGAAATAAACAACAAAATTTGAAAACTCATCTTGTTCTTTCTATTGTACTCTATTCTAAATAATGTCCAGCAGACTTCAGAAGACACTTAATACACACAAAGATCTGGAAACTTCATCTCATAGACTGGAACGGATTGGTAATGAGGATGTCCAGCAGTAATGGTCATCGTTCCTGAGGGGCTAGGCGGAGGACTGTGTGAGAAGAAAAATCAATATATGTAATTTATAATTATATAGACTGCTTTCTTTTTTATGACTTGATATATGAATAGCTGAGAAACAAGAGTAAACTACCCTCCCACCCACCCACAACCAGTATTTCATCCTATTCCTGAAATTCTGATGAAATCCTCACGCCTCGCTTGTTTATTTTTTTTTGTACTCCCGTCTAAATCATCTACTTCACTCATGTTACAGAACTACAAAATGCATTTTATTACTAACAAATATTATTCATATTGCACAACGGATGTGCACAACTCTGTATAATAATGTCATGTACTACTGGGTGTTCATTTTGTAATTACTTTCTCAAAGAGATACAGCAATGCGAAAACAGCAGCATTCTTCAATACCACTGATATAAACAGAAATAATATAAGTATACTATGACATGGTTTCTGGATGTTCTCCAGTATCTAAAAGATTCAAATAGTAACAAGAAAATCAAAGTGACTGTTTTAGATGAAGACTACTCTTGATCAATGTACTGGTTTTGGCTGGGATAGAGTTAATTTTCTTCGCAGTAGCTAGTATGGGGCTATGTTTTGAATTTGTGCTGAAAACAGTGTTGATAACACACAGCGATGTTTTTGTTTGAGCAGTGCTCACAGAGCCAAGGCCTTTTCTGCTTCTCGCCCCACCCCACCAGCGAGTAGGCTGGGGGTGCACAAGAAGTTGGGAGGGGACACAGCTGGGACAGCTGACCCCAGCTGACCAAAGGGATATTCCATACCATGTGATGTCATGCTCAGCATACGAAGCTGCGAGAACAAGAAGAAAAGGGAGGAGATTCAGAGCTATGGCGTTTGTCTTCCCAAGTAACCATGATGTGTGATGGAGCCCTGCTTTCCTGGAGATGGCTGAACACCTGCCTGCCCATGGGAAGGAGTGAATGAATTCCTTATTTTGCTTTGCTTGTGCACATGGCTTTTGTTTTACCTATTAAACTGTCTTTATCTCAGCCCACAGGTTTTCTAATTTTTACCCTTCCAATCCTCTTCCTCACTCCACTGAGGTGAAGTTAGGCAGCGGCTGTGTGGGGCTTAAACACGTACCACAGTTAAACCACAACATTCAGTTAAGTCAATTATTTTCTGCCTACTACATGTGTTTAAGAACACTATGACAGGACCACCTGAAAGCAGTCCCAGTTGTTTTATAACTCATTTTTCATTCATCGTGTTCTTCTTGCATAAAGCCTTACCGAATGGTGAGTTCCAGTATCTGTGCAAGTCTATCATGAAGCAAGTTTGCCTAGGAAAAAAAAATTAAAACTGAATTATTAACTACTATATATTGAAGCAAGTTAAAATGAACGTGCCAGGCCATACTCGGAGCGTGTTCCACACTACCACATGGTAAATCTACGCTGCATTTCCCATCTTGATTTCTTTTCTTACTGCTGCAAGAATTCTGAGCCCTGAAGAGGCATGTGAGATCGAGTGAGCCTGTCTTAGAGTGCAAGGAATTATGTAGCAAATTTTGCTGTTGCAGATAGGAATTTAACAAACCTGAAATACATTCAGTTATTCAAAATATATATTGGGGTAAATGCTGTTCCAGTTATCCCAGGATAAAATAGGAATGGACCAAGAAATCTAGATTCCAAAGATAGTAAGGATGAAGAGTATAATGAGATTTCCATTTCTTTTCAAATAGTCTAGGAACAATCAAAAGCACACTTTAAATAACTGGAATTTCCCAACATTGATAATAGCAGAGACAGTAGCTGAAGACAAAAAAATGAACTTCTTTAGAAGTAACAGCAACAGTGACATGACAACATGAAGCACTTTTAGCCAGCACGTCCCCATTAATGCCTGTACCAGCACCTTCAGTGTTGTGTAACATTTTTCAGAAACTCACTTTGGTTTCACATTGTGCTGCAATTTCTTCAAACGGTGCTTTTTGGAACTTTTCAATCACAAGACGCCTTTTTTCTTTTTCCTGTTCTTCAAGTCCATTGTTATCTTAAAAAAATAATTAAAAAAAAGAAAGGTAGTCTTTGCCTATCAAGGATAAGTGGTGTGACCCTTCAAACGCAAAGCAAACAAGCACCGCATCTAAAGTGCTGCAACCATACTCAAGCGAGGTGTCACCAGTCATTGCTTCTAAGTAAAATGCAGATATAATTTCAGGAAGATGGTTTGAGGACCTCAGTTTTGCCCTTTCTTACCATGTGCTTTAATTACGAATACCTCACGCTTCCTTTGGACTCAAGACTGCACTTCTCATTCACTGCACACAAGTTCAGCTTCAAGAGAAAAGAAGGGAGTGTCCTCCCTCCTAGTATCATGCGGGCAGGTGGGCAGGATTTGCTATTGGAATTTGGGAAAAGTGAGTTCAACCTCCATAGGCTGAGTGATCATACAAGCAGATGGAACTTGGAAGCACGTAATGAAATTAAGTACCTCAGTGATTAGGCATGTTGGAAAACCGTCAGATTGAATTATGGTTTAAAATAGAAATGTCTATTGTTTAAAACATCCATGTCTGCTTCATGTTTTTGACAGGATTTTGGTGGACTGGACGGCATTAATTAGTAATTACTTGTAGTGGTAAGAAATAAGGAAACTGGATAATTCCGAGTTGTAGTAGGTGGGGCACTTGTCAGAAAAATATTCTTTTAAACAAATCAGATAGATATGTCCCAACACACTACTTAAAAATGGAGTGTTTCTAAAGGCCACAATGTCACCTTACAATCTATTTCTGAATGCATTGAAGACCTGGAAATATTAATACGTAAAAAATACTGAAGTTGCTTTATAAACAATCATTCAATGGAATTTGAAAATGTCACATTATTTATAGGTTGGCCTGTAAGGGCAAATTTAACAGATGACAGGCATTTCCAGATGCTTTTCATTCAGTCTCATTAGCTTCAGAAAATTAATTCACTACAATTATCAGGATATCATTTCAGAAATTTAGAAATAAATAACCAAAATTTTAAATAAATTTACTAGCTGAAGAGAAACAAATGTAATATTTTAATTATGATGTTATTCTGGCAACACCTTTTTCTCTAGCAATTCCACAGTAATCTAGAGCTATGTTGCATAAATACAACTGTAATAAATCTTACCAATTGCTTTCTTCAAAGCTTCAAAAGTGATTTCTTCAGTATTATCAACCTAAACACAAAGAAACAAAACTCCTTAAACCTCACATATAACAAGCTTCTGAAAAACAAGGAATGTGAAAAACACAGAGGGCCAAAATGGCCACAGAGCTTTTCTGCCTTACAAGTTTCTTACAGCTTTATCTGGACTTGCTATGACATCCAACAGATCACTAACTCATGTTTTTAAGCCACTGCAATTAGTGAGGAAATTTTCATCAAATGACATCAAGGAAAGCTTTCCAAATTCTGGGCAAGATGCCCTATGCCTACAATACTTTAGAAAAGTACTTGGATTTTAGTAGAACACCCCTGTGAGTCAGGAATATGCTGCAGTGTTGCTATACCGCTAAGCCTCAGTACCGGTCCTTAGGCAGCTGTTCCGAATAACAGCAGCTGCTTCCTGAGACTAGTTGAGTTCCAGCGATGTGATACTAAAATGAGAAATGGTAGTGGAGGGTAGAGTAGAAAATAATCACCTTCTATACGGTTCATATCACCAGCTGCTTTTACAAGTGCCTTCATCTTACAAATGGAGATAACTACGGAATAAACCATCTTCCTGAACAGGATTCACTAACAGATTTGTCACAACAAAAAACTTTGTGTTGACAAAAGAACTGCATTTGTATTGTACACAATAATAGCTATTTTATGGATAAACAGTCTTTTACCTCTCAGTGTATAAATGATACCACACATCACTAATCTTAAAACTTCCAGTAATTAAGTAGTTTATCCTCTCAATCATAAAGCCTTATTCTCCTTTTTTTTCAGTTTAATTCCACTGGCAGTTATGGATTATGTTACATATACTAATATACATAGCAAGAGAACCAGATTTAATATCTTTGTGGACTCTTCTCTTTTTCTTCCTCTCGAGTTACATCCAGTGTATCATCTTATGTTGCAGGTGACTAAAAACATGCATTATGAGGGAACAAGAATTAGCAAAAATTACAGAGCACCATTACTGAAGGAACAGGCTGCCCAGGGAAGTGGTTGACTCACCATCCCTGAAGGTATTTAAAAGATGTGTAGACAACATCTCTTTTGAAGAGATGTTCAATCAGATGTAATCACATATAATACATGAGATTAAAAAAGGATACTAATGGCAAACACCTCCATTCCTATTAGAAGCATTTACTTTCTTCAGAAAGCTAAAGATTGTGATAATCTGGCTTATTTTTCAAACACTTTTTCTTCTTTCTCTTAAACTTCTTATCTAGTTTATCTGTATTCTTGTTAAAGCACAACAGCAAGAAGTGAACACAGAATATCATCTGAGGTATCATCAGCACAAAGCAGAAAGGAATAGTAACAATGATGCAAAACGTAAATCACTTCCCTCAGTAAGTTCTAAAATGAGACTTGCTCCTTTGCAATAGCTAAATATTGGATTTTTAACCAACATTCAGCTTGACTCTGTCCACACATCCTGTTTCATGACCCTAGCCAGTATGCACTTTAAGATGTCAAAGGCAGGATTCATTTCCAGGTACAAACACCTCAATTTCAACAGCTAATCCCCATCGCAGCCAGCAGAAATCTGGTTAATAAAAATCAGCAGAACCTTGAAAAAGATTCAGCAGAAATGGGAATTTATTTTAAGAAATACTTCCAATGAAGTGTCAAAAGATGTGGGATAATTTTAATTACAATGCAGTCTTCCTAAGGGATAATCAACATCAGCTCCTGTACCCTACACATGGACTTTTTGTAGCTACCTTGTCCTTCCATGACTTTAAAGCACCGTGTGTTAAACTCTTCTGGAAGGGAAGAGTGAGACCGTAACACTGTGGTGTGAGCAGCCTGCCCAGTCTTTGCCTGCCCCTCATATGGGTCAGCCTCAAATTGATGAACAAGACTCTCAGATACTTCAAATTACGCAGGCATACAGATGCAGGAATTGTATTTGATCCCTCAAAATGCAAATATTTACGTATAAAATATTAGTTGCTCAGCATATATATGTATTGCTACCCCATATTCTGCAGCACGATCTGTAAAAACTATAGTGACAAAATACATATTTATACAGCAAGATCAGCACCAGCATCTTTGACAACACATTTCTACAAATATGGGAGTTAAAAAAATCAAAACCCCAAAGCATTTAACATTGCTAGAACAATTAGATATCAGACTTTCTGGGAAAAATTGATTTGCATTCCCCACCTCAAGATGCTGCTTTAAAATACCCTGTGATTTTCATACCTTATCCTCTGTATTGTTGCCAGGCAGAATATCCACCTGAATAGATACCGTATCCACAATGCTCTTCCTCCTGGAGAGTCTGTCCTCATCTAGGAAAAACAACAACTTATCTCACCTTTTGTAGTAACAGTTGAAACACGATCGACCAAGTTTCTACACATCAGATGCAGATTTGTTTCTATATGCCTAATTAACTGAAGATCATCTATTTTATAATTTGGATTGTTGCAAAAAATGATCAGTTACTGCTCTAAATTATTAAATATGAAGGAAAATAACCTTTTTATCGTCCCTTCCTCCTCTTATCCCAGATCTTGCCAACTTTCCCTTGAAAGCCCAGAATTTAAAAAAATGAGATGAGATCTTACTCAAATGCGCAATAAATAACATAGTACATGATAATATATTGCTGCAGAATAATTTACAAAAGACTGAATTTACTTTTTTGCTTGTGAAATTGAAACATTAAGGTCTTAATTTGAAGGTACTCTGAAATAGTAAAGGGCTTCTTGGAAGATGACTCATTGACAGAAGAAACAGATTTCTGAATGGAAATAAACAACAATCCTTCCTTATTCTTGTTGCTACAACTACTATATTCAACTAGTCTAAAAATCTACTTGGTGAAAAAAATTCTCTCCATCTCTAACTTCCTACAAACATTTTAGCAAGTCCAGCTGGCTTAAAAACTTGCCAGAGTAAGACCAACTGTGCTGATACCAAAAGGAGCACAATGATTTCTTTAACGCTTAAGCAGATATGATCAAATGATCATCAGTTGATGGATTCCCTTTTGTGACTGAGACAATACACCAACAATCTTTTCTCCTTTTTGACATTTAATATATTAACATAAGATGAAAAAAAACAGTAAAAATACATTTACAGACGTGTCATGAGGATCCTCTGACAAATGGAGACTTGAGTGGCCTGATTTTTCATGCATCTCAGTTACAAACCCATGAAGTGCAATGTCACATTTTAGATTTTAGCTGAGATCAAGCAATTTGGACCTGCATGTAGTTAGAAGCACCTACAGGCACTTGATACTAAGATAAGGATGAGGAGAACTACTGTAAAACTCCCCCATCACAAAATAATTTTTGCTGGTTCTTCTGCAGCCTTTGTTTAATCACTTCTAGCAAAGCACTTCTGCAGTGCAAATATTGAGCATGAACTACAGAATTCATTCCAGCAGAGTTGAACACGTCCAGGTTTAAAAAAATCAAGAAACACCTTTCAGAAGTCATATAAATGAAATGCCATTTAAGATCAAGAGGCAGTGAAAGAACAAAATTAGGGGAAAACACCTGAATTCTAGCTATCTTTGCCAGGTTCTCAGAGATCCTGAACATCTGAAGTGGCATTCTGAAGGATTTCCTTAATTTCAGTCCCTGATGGCTCACTGGTACACGACCCAATACACCCAGAGCCTGAGGAAAGCACCTCATCGCCGAGTAAACACAAGACAAAACTACATCTTTGCTGCCATCTTGCTGCTTTCTCCATAACTGACATGCAAACACCACAAGACACGGTTTAGGGACTATTTCAGATAGAATTTATTTTTATAACAGATGCCTCACTATACTTGCCTAATAAAAATGCCCACTCTCCTCTATTTTCAACACATTAAGTGGGTAAAAAATTGTGAAAATTGCAATTTTTTTCTGTTATATGATGTAAAACTTGTCTCCAGACAAACAAAGGAGCCAGGTTGGATGAGGCTTTGAGCAACCTGATGTAGTGAAGGGCTTCCCTGCCCACGGCAGGGGCGTTGGAACTAGATGATCTTTGAGGTCCCTTCCAACTCAAACCATTCTGCGATTCTATGCAGGGGAACAGCATCTTGGGATCGCAATTGCAGATGGCTTAATATAGGATGTTTAGGGGAGAAAGCAAGGGTGGGGAAAAAGAGCATTGAGATGATTTAGATTAGATATAAGGAATCTTTAGGTTCCTTTAGATATCTATAGATCTTTAGATTAGATATAAGGAAGAAATTTTTCACTCAGAGGGTGGTGAGGCAGTGGAACAGGTTGCCCAGAGAACTTGTAGATGCCCCATCCCTGGAAGTGTTCAAGGCCAGGTTGGATGAGGCTTTGGGCAACCTGGCGTAGTGGAGGGTGTCCCTGCCCATGGCAGGGGGGTTGGAACGAGATGATCTTTGAGGTCCCTTCCAACTCTAACCATTCTATGATTCTATGATTTGGGGAGAAGTAAGCAAGGAAAATAGAGGGATAAAGGGATAAAGGCATCAGTCTCATGTAAACCAGCTGCTGATCAGTATGCACATCTGGCCATGCCTCATCAGTGCAGCCTGTCCTGTCTTCTCATTAAATCCCATTTCTCTTTTGCTGGGTGAGGGACTCTATTAATTTGTGCAGGTGTGTGCACAGGGGTCTGAGCACAGCAACTAGAGTCGGACCACAGGTCTGTGTGTCTGGAGCGACCAAGGGCGCACTGCGCCAGTCCACGGAAACAAGGGGATATCAAGCCGGACCAGCAGGTGAGTAGATCGAGTCGCTTAGGATCTGGGGATGTCTTTTTGTGTCTGTCTCTCCGTGTGTCAGTCTGTCTCTGAGGGGAATGCACCTGGAGGGACCAGGAGGCCCAGGACAACTGTCAGAAAGGGCACAGAGCCTGGGGGGTTGACCGAGAGCCATGCGTGCATGCGCGTGTGCGTTACTGTGCACAAGGGGGGTCTGTACCAGCAGCTGGACTGGGGCTGTGGGTCTCGGGGACCCACTTGCTCAGGCGTCAGTGACTGGGGAGACTGGGAACCAGGAGACAGCTGTGAGAAGACAGTGTCTAAGCCCAGCTACTGCTGGGATGCACACAGAACATCTGCACCTTCACATAATGGACCTTTATCCTGAACAGCCAGCGAGTAAGATGAATCATTGTTCTGTGAACAGCTGAGAGCTTCTTCCAACTTTCTACCATGTTGTGGTACTGTCACTCAAAGAGGTAATCAGTGCTATCACAAAAATGACACCTATAGCCCTACTATGTGCTCAGGAAAAGAAAACAGTAAACTACCATATTGTAGAGTTCCAAATCAAGAGTAACAAAGGCAAACCTTGCAGCAGCTAACATTGCTACAGGTAGATCAAGGAGATAAATACAAAAAAAAAGCAGAAGGAAACGCTAAGTACACCAAGTACAACACAATTTCTGGCCTAAAAGTCTAAAGGCCTTCTAAAAGCATTATTTTTTTGACTGTGCACATCCTACACAGACACACCACAGCTAGCAGGAGAGCAGGCTGGCCTACAACTTGTTTTTACCTTTTGATTTGTGTCTGCATTTATGAGGCTTTTTGCCTGATGGAAATAGAGCTGAATTAAAAAAAATTATATACGTACAGACAAAAAATGATTAAATGTACATTTAAATTATCAGTTCCCTTCTCCCCCAAATAAGAAAGAGAAGAAGGTACAACAAGTTGCAAATATGAACGGCCTTCAAACTGATAAGAAATACCCAAACTTGAAACAAAGACATGATTTTATGTTTATGAGACATTGTCAAGCATTATATCATTGATATTCAGAACTACTAGAAATAAATAGGATAAAGTCTTTAGTGGCTTTTTGGATCCAATCATAACTTTCCCAGCAATATACAAAAAACGGATCCATCTTTTACTAAAATTAATGATATATTTTGAAAAACTATATTCTAGCATTACAATATAATAGTAGACATGAAACACTTCTTTGAGGTGAAAAATGAAAAGTTCCAGAATTCCAAAATATTTACCTTGGTCCTGATTTAGTTAAATGAAAACCTTGGAAGTTCAATATCCCACAGATTCAGAGATTAACGATCCTAATTGGTTATGATAAACAGGCATTGAACCAGTTTTGGTCACTGATCTTTACAAAAAGATTACAAAAAAACCCAAACCCATCTGACTCACATATGCCAAGATTTAGCATAAAATATAGCCGTTTCTCATCTCCTGAAGAGGCAGTTAATCACACATCTGCAGCTAAACTCACCTAACCTTGATGTCAGAACTTACATATCTTCCTGTGTAGGAATACATTTTTATCAAAGTATCCAAGAAAACCCCAGCAAGGTGTGTTGGTTTTGGCTGGGACAGCCTTCATTTTCTTGTGTTTTGGATCTAGTATGGGTTTGGTATGAGACGAATGTTGATAATATACCGATGTTTTCAGATGTCGCTAAGAAAACAAGGGCTTTCCAACTTTCCATGCTTAGCTAGTGCGTAGGTACATGAGAAACTCGGAGGGAGTATGGCCAGAACAAGAGGCTCGAATTGGCCAATGAGATACTCCACACCATACGATGTCACGCTCAGCATATAAAGCTGGGGGAAGAAGAAGGAAGGGGAGGGCGTTCGGAGTGATGGCATTTGTCTTCCCAAGTAACTATTATGTGTGATGGAGCCCTTTTTCCCTGGAGGTGGCTGAACGCCTGCCTGCTGACGGGAAGCAGTGAAGGAATCCCTTGCTTTGCTTGCGTGTGGGCTTTTGCTTTATCTATCAAACTGTCCTTGTCTCAACCCATGAGTTTTCTCACTGCTACTCTTGCGATTCTCTCCCCCATGCCACTGGGGCTGAGTGAGCAAGTGAGTGTGTGGAGATTAGTTGCTGGCTGGGCTTAAACCACAACACAAGGTCATTTGGGTAGAAATACATCTCGATTTCTAGAAAAGGCTTAATATGAATTTCAAACCAGGCAATCTTTCTCATTCCATTCTTATTCACTTGAAGATAGTAAAAATTTGAAAATGTAACATTTCCTTACTTGCCACTCACCTCTTCTGCTAAAACTAAAAAATAACATTAACTGTTTTTTTGGATGCCAGAAGAAATAAGCTGTCAAGCACAGTAACATTTTCCTTTTTAGAAGAAAACAACCAGTAACAGAAAACACAGGCATTGCAGCTGTATCAGAATATATCACTAGTTCGCCTGCTAGCACTTGGGACAAAACCACATCTGATGCTCAGAGAACTCATCCCCTCCCATAGCACCTCTCCCAAAAAGCTTATTCAAGAGCAGACAGCAATGTCTCTGAATCATACTGCAAATGTGACAGATTTGGCATTCACTGTCCGTATGTACTATGTTTCTATGTGTGAGCTACAAAACGTTGGAATTGTGTTTTCCTCCTGGATACTTTTATTTTACAAAAAGGTCATGCTTCAGACTGCGATCTCCCGTAGTCTATTACAATAGCAAGAAGTTAACGTACAGCCACAAAACACACATGGTTAATAAAACAACTTCTTCAAACTTTTTTTTTCAGCAAGTTGCTCAATTGGCTGTTGAAAATATACTAAAAGCTGAAAACACACAATGTCACATACTAGCTAGTCATCCACACACTATTCGTGCATCCTGGACAGCACAAACTCTCACAAATCTTCCTCAGGCATACTTTATTTTAATTGTATTACCTGATACTAAGCTAGCATAGGTATCTACTAGAGGCAAACATAATATTCTTGATTAAATTAATATCTGCTCATTGAGAATTTGACTAAGGCTAATAACTCAAGTCAGCACAAGGCTATATGGCACAAGGATGGAACACGTTCCATCCAGTGTTTACATAAAAAGGATAAAGTATGCTGACTTGTATAATCCTTCCTCACCTGTTAACTCAAGTTAATACAGAAAAAGAGTAATAATCACTCTTATCTTCTTAGGTATTCTTTCGAAAGCAAAGACTACATTAAAAAGAGTCAAAGTGGGTTTAAGAACTTTCTGCCCCATTTCCTGACGTAAAGGAAAACAAATCTTAAAAGGACGCAAAGTTGAAACTTCTTAGCAATAATACAGTAGGTAATGAGAAAAATAACCATCTTGAGAAAACCAAATCATAACATGATTAACTTTTGTCGCCAAGTAGTCAGACAATACATTAAGCAAGTGTTCTTAACAACTGGTAATTAGCAGTTTTGTCACTCATCACCACTTACCTGTTACCTGGGGTACATATGGAACTGACAATCTTTCCACACTGTATCCACTGCCTCCTAATGATTCTGCAATCTTGTTTGTCAGGAAAAATAAATTTTTTTCATGCTTCTCTAAGGATTTTGGAAGACTGTCAAAACATATATTTGAAGTTATTATCTACCAATAAAGATTTGGTCATTAAGTAAAATACTTTTGTAACGTCTGCATGCAATCAAACAGGGTCAATGGTAACTATTTGATAGAAATAAAACCTGCTCAGTTATTTAGGAATGAATATACACTCCAAAATGAGTCCACTGAATACCTCTGCAATATTTTAAATTACCTTAACACTTCTTGGCTATCTAAATCATGTTCCTCACTTATTCTTATTACATTTTGAGAGAACCTGGTCTCTGTTAAATGGAAAAAACTGCAGAGCAATAGTATTTTCCATTTGCCAGCAATGCACTCTAGCGACAAAAAAGGGTAAGGGTATCCTGGGCTGCATTAGGAGTTTTGCCAGGTCAAGGGACGTGATCCTTCCACTCTACTCAGCACTGGTAAGGCCCCACCCACCTGGAGTACTATGTTAAGTGCTGGGCTCTTCAGGACAGGAGGGATATGGACTTACTGTAGAGAGTCCAACAAAGGGACACTAAGGTGGACTGTAAGGGACCGAAGCATCTCTATAGTGAAGAAACACTGAGAGAGTTGGGACAGTGCAAGAAGGAGAAAAGAAGGTGCATCTTATCAGTGTGTACAACTACCTTAAGGGAGGGAGGGTAGAAAGAGAATAGAGCCAGGTTTAATGGTGCCCAGTGACAGGATGAGAAGCAATGAGCACAAACTGAAACACAGGAGGTTCTGTTTGAACATCAGGAAACAATTTTACACTGCGAGGGTGACCAACCACTGGCACAGGTTGCCCAGAGAGGTTGTGGAGTCTCCATCCTAGGAGATATTCCAAAACCATCTGGATATGGTCCCGGACAGCCTGCTCTAGGTGACGCAGCTTGAGCAGGGGGGTGGGACCAGATGAACTCCAGAGGTGTCTTCCAACCTCACTTATTCTGTGATTCAGCAAAAATTCATTTTGCTGTGTTAGCAGTTACACCAAGCAACATACTGTGCAGATGTAAGTGCCTCTGACTACAATTAAAGAAGTCAGAAAACCAGATTTTTTTCACATATGCATATATGCTTTTAATGCTTCGTGTTCTTCTGTCTATCCTGTACAGTACTGAACCTCTAAATTATTTTTCACATACGCAACATATTTTAATGATGTGCAATTTTTAATAGTAAAATAGGTACTTCACAGTCCATTAATTCACATTCTGTATCTACTCACTTGCATTTGTCTTTGAAAATTGTTTCTGGTAGAAAATAAGATGCTTCCAGACTTCTAGTTTCAATGACCTGAAAAAGTCAAGACAAATAATGCAAATGGAGTAGGTTCCAGAGCTATTTTCTCCAATGACTAAATTGCTTAAAGAGCTTACACTGTAGCAGATTACCAATAATTCACTAACTTCTACCTCAGCACAAATGAGGCCTTTAGGATTTCTTTTAATCAGAGAAAGCGACAGAGGCACTCATCTTTTAGACTAAAATTCTGGTTCTCATGGTCTTGTGCATGTCAGTACTGTTTACCAAAGCCATTGAGGCTGTGAACTCTTATACCAGGTGGGATTTAGATCATTATATATAGTACCATAAATGAAACAAAAAGGCTATACTTTGAGTGAAGAATATTCTGTGCATAATTTCAAAAGTCAGCAAGTAAAGCCATCAGAGATCAAAGACAAAGAGCAATGTTGATGGACACAAATACAGGAGATCAACACCACAAGCAATTACTTGCTTGTTATTTATTCAAGAAGTTATTTATCCATTTATAGTAGAATGCGCAATGTTCTAAGTGACATAAATTAATTACGTGTTACCTTGCTGACATGCTGACAAAAGGCAGGAACTGCAATCATCTGACTCAGAAAGTTTAGATACGCTGCAACCAATGCCATGACACCACAACGATTAAACATTGGCAGATTATCCTCATTGATGATGGCAATGTCCTGAAATATAAAGGATTGCATTATACTCTCCAAAATTAACAGGCTGTTCTGAATATATGGAAGTCAAAATCATTATCGGTAACACTAACTGACATGATGATTATCTTGTATTACCTAGCATTTAATACCTCTCATCTTAAAATCCAGGTCTTTTAGCTCACTCCTGAATTACGTACATGTTGATCTGAAATTAGAGAGCTTGAAGGATTCAACCCCTATGAAGAGAAATAAACGTACTCAACTCAAACTTGTGCTTCTCAGAAAGAGAGTACACGTTAATGACTGGTAGTCTCTTGTCCTCATCACCTGTCGATCATAATTTTTTTCCAGGAAAATTAGAAACAGTAGTTTAATAATAAAAATCACTCTGTGAGTCACAGATACAGTACCATAAAGGGAACTATTTAATGCTTATCAGCATTTCTATGTTTATTTAGATTGTATAATTTTTGTTCTAGTAAAACACAGAACAACATTTTCATCAAGTAAGGATTTGGTTCAGTAACATATTTTAAAATTAAGGATGCACTCCGCATTTCAGAGGTTTCATAATGCAGGTGCACATTAGGGAATAAGGCTAATGACAGAGAGTGAACTGGGAATACAGGACAATTTCATCAAATTTCCATGGCACATGCTAGCACTAATTTTTTTGAATGCTTAAATTTAAACGCAAATAAACATAATAAGTTACACAGTTTCACTGAGAATTGTATGCAAGTATGAATAATGTTTGATCCTGTAAACGAAATGTTAAGAAATAAAGTCTGTCAATACACTGGTAGAATTTTACTCTAAGGTGAGACTAAACAGCCTGGTTTGACAAATATTTCCAACCAATCAATTAACCAAAAGCTTTCTTCCAAGGTGAGGACAGTCCACAGATCTTATACGGAACACTGACGCAAGACCATAGGCTGCAAGAATACCTTGTTGATCTGCCAATGAATATATCAGTGATTCTAGGGAATGTTTCAACAAATTTCCACATCTGCTATATTTCCTGAAGTGAACACACTGTAGAAGTTTGTAAAAAATCTGATCAGTTGAAGCTTCCCTATTAACAAGTGTTATGTACAAAGTGCACTTCCTCAATGGATCAATCAAATTAGGACTGAATGAAGTGCTCCAATTTGAAGATGAATATGCATACAAAAAAAGTTATCCACATCTCCAATGACAAACATAAATTGTCAATCAATGAACCCAGCACTGATTCAGACTCATACCTGCAAAGCAATAGCTAATCGAATGAGGTCAATGACCACTTCTTCATTGGCTAGTTCAATCGTGGTAAGAGCTAGAGATGTAAACAGTAGTTCAAAGTTTTTTTGGACATTGTCTTCTTCTTTACAGCCTAAGTAGATGTGTCTATACAACTGCTGACCATGCTATAAAAGACAAGAAAAGGGAACATGAATACTAAAATCACGAAATAATTTGGGTTAGAAAGGATATTTAAAGGTCCTCTAGTCCAACTCCCTACTCCAAGCAAGGCCAAACGTTGATGTTAGATCATTTTAGATAGTGAATTTAAAAAAAAAAAGGTAAAATACATGTATACACACACATACATATAGGCCAACAAGTACATGATTAATCAAAACCATTAGTTTAGTACCATAACAGCAGCTTCTCTATAAATACAGTAGTTTTATTTTATGTAGAAGTGTACAGATGGGGAAGAGGACACAGGGAATTGCACATGAATACTGTGCTGTGTGTCAGACACTGGCATTCACATCCTATTTCCTATAGTCAGAAAAAAGTTGGCCGTTTAGGAAAAAGAGAAAATAAAAAGTAAATCTGGAACCACGCTAAAGAATGTTCACGTAACTGAGGAGCTTCCAGGGTTATCCTTGTGAACATCAAATTTGTTCACTGCGCAAGGCTCCTTGAAAAGCAAACTGAGAAAAAAAATCCCTCAGATTTTGTTTCAGAACATGGGTAGGGCTCGTTTACAACTGTGCCTAGGAAGGCTCTAGCTAAGAACATGGGTTATCTAAGGAAAGACACTCAACTCCAAAAACGATGTTCCTTTCCTCATAACACTGTGTTTAATGAAGTCTTTGTAAAGAAAGTATTATTTCAACGCAAAAAAATGAAAACACAGAAAGGCAGGTTAAGAAGCAGGTTTTGCATGCAACACGACACACGACTCAGCACCACCCCAGCATTCTTCATCTGTAGATGATACAGGTCTGTACCAGTTGACACAGTTAATTTTCAAGATCTAAGGACTGATGCTTTATCTCTGGAAGTACTTGTTCAGCTTTAGAAGGAGAAAGAAAACTTATTTTTAACATCTCTTTTTCAAGCAGGACATATTCACTTAAGAAATAATAAAGTTGCTGTTAGTCTCACTATTTCTAAATCAAACATATAGTTGTTCAAATATATGTTTTATTTAGAAAAGAGGGATACAGAGCTACTAGCAAAGCACAGAAGTTAGAATGAAATAAGCACAGTAAAGGTTAGCTGTTTAAAGACGCAGTATATTTGGAAAATAAAAGTAACGAAATTATTAATCCCACTGATAAAGAATTGCACTTAGATATGAAAATAAATTATTATGGGGATTTTCTTGATAAGTAGTATCTTTCTAGAAGACTGTAAAATGCAAGAAGCTCATCTCCCTTTAAAGAAATGACAGAAATAAACTGTCTCCTGGCTTTGAGAAGGTGGACTGAGATGAATAGAGTTTTGTGTCTATGACTGATTTAATTCCATCTAATTTTAGGTACTGAAATTCCTAAGTATGATACACAATTGACTTAGGATCCCCATCTAACATCAAAAAAACCTAGATGGTCATTCAAATCTTTACGGACTTCTTAGAGGTGCTTCACCTCGCCCCTTTGATAATGCAAGGAATCTAGGAAGAGTAGGCTGCCAACATACACATCTACACTGAGTAACATTAGTAACACCTGAAACAGTATCACATAGATAATTACTGAATTTCTTCATTCCGTAAGGTTAATGTATTTTTTTAGAAGACTGTACAATTTGTTCTTGACCTGATAAGAGTCTCTTTTCCTTTCCTGCCCTCTTTTTCAGACGAGAGTGCTAACAATTCAAATATTTAGTTTGACAATTAAAATTTACACCTAGCAGAATAAGTGAATACGATTCATCCTAACTGTTTTAAATCCTAGATATTAAAATGACGAATGAAAATTTCATTCAGTTTTTACAAATACACACTACTAATAATTGCCAAAGTTGGAGTATTCTTTACATTTGTATTATTACAGTATTAACCAAAATGAGTGTAAACACACTTCAAGGAACATCAACTGTACTAACTCAGCAAGAACTTGCAGTGTTACTTAAAAGCTGCACAACTCTATTTTACATAGAATCATAGAATGGTTGGGGTTGGAAGGGACCTCAAAGATCATCTAGTTCCAACCCCCCTGCCATGGGCAGGGACACCCTCCACTAGACCAGGTTGCCCAAAGCCTCATCCAACCTGGCCTTAAACACTGCCAGAGATGCGGCATATTATTACATATGTAGTATTTTTGCCTCTGGACAAGTTAAACTGCAATTCTTCTGATTTTTATGATTAGAATATTCAATTAAGTCAGCACACTGAAGACATGCATTTTTTATTTCACAGCTAATAGGAAACAAAACCAAAACAGTATGGTATAGCTGTCAGAAATTAATCTATTTTCTCAGGCAAATAACAGTGATAAATGTTTAAAAACCTACTTGAGCTGACTTCAGTAGTTTGCAATTTTTTGTTTACAAACATACCTATACAGATGAACTATAGCTTAGGAATGACAGATCACACTAATATATATATGCATTTTTCCCACATAGAAAATAAGGTGTTTATTAAAACAAACAATTTCACTCTACAGAAGCATCACCTAAAAAAACTGATCTGTTTTTCTTTAGAACCAAACATCCTCAGAAGTCAATTGGCACCCTGGCCTGTAAAAACAATCTTGTAAGGAGGTGCATTTTTTCTTCAAAGTTAACTTTCTTTGACCTCTTTAATTAAAACATAAGACACAAGTCCCTGTACCAAGGTTTTATAAAAGACTTTTAAATAAAAAAATTATCTGAAAATACACCAAACTAAAAGCCATACCACTGAAAAACCGTTCTAATTTCATGCACACACGAGTTTTCCCTGAAGACGTAACTGAAAATTTTATTCCATGGAACCACCTCTCAAGTATCTAGAACACCTCAACATTGAAATCACTGTAATTTGAATTAAAATCACTTGATACTGATCTCTGCAAATTGTTGCAAAAACACAGTTGTAGCGAAGAAAAGCAAAGCAACTGGTTCAGTTTATCTTCTTTCAAGACAGAAAAGTTAACTTTTTCATTCTATTACCTTTTTCATGAAGCTCACGTCTTGCCTTGAGATTTTGTCTCGTTTTATCTTTAGATCAGAAACATCTGGTATTATTCTACAAAACAAGCAAAAATGTTGTTTTCACAAAAAGAAGTTGAAAAGCATGTGACATATATGAACTAGTCAAACAAATCTTGAAGCAATTTCCATTTTAATTATATCCATGTTTAACAATGGTATTTAAACTTCAATTAAAGAGGGGGAACCATAAACAGAATTGTGACAAGCACATATTTTCTTTCTCTACATAAAATACCATATTCTCTCTTCCACAGTTAAACTAGCAGGTATTTGGAATGGTCATTTAAGGTATCGTGCACTGGGGCTGACTCATAGAACTCTTGCCATCAATAAACAACACAGAGCTCCGCGCAATTATCAAAACGGCACATTAACATTTCATACCAGGAAAAATACTTTAAAATCAACAGTATTTATCATTCAGATATCAAACCAGAATCTGAAGCAGGTCACAGCAAGCCAAAAGAATTACCGTATCCCTCTGAGCTTTGCTCTGTTGTCATGCCGATCGATAAGATTATGCAGTATTTCCAAGACCAGCTGCCTTAGCTCCGAGTCTTCCATGAGTGAAGGCGACAATAACGGGTCCAGAAACGGGGGAGGAAGTGCATTAGTTATCGTTGTTGCTTTGTATCCTGAAGTCACCTGTTCATTGTTGGAAGTAAAATTAATCTCTGTCATTATTGCACCGTAAGAATTACTTGCAGTTGTCCCTCACTTTTTAGTGGGTTTGCTTTGGCATCTGAAAGGTGGATTCAAATGGAAGTATCATATTAGTTTTGAAAATTCCTAACCTCACTATGAATTTGGAAGGACTTTAACACTCACATTCAAATGAACTCCCTCATCTGTTTTAAAGTGGTCTTTCTCAGAATCCTTCCTCTACCAATACATCCAAAAGAAAAAAGGTATCATTTATGATTTATTTTTTTTTTAAAATGGCCTACGAAAAGTTGTAAGGCATAAAATGAAGATGGTAATAATTCCAATAGAGATTTTCCCATTTCAGGCTCTGAGCTGCTCATATATGGTACTGAGTATGCTCATGTGAAGAATAAAAGAGAAACAAGGGCCTATATGCACATCTTAAACATCTATGGATACTACTTTATTGCAAAAAAGAAAGCAAGCAGCAAACATCACTTTCTCAGAAGTACAGCTGGGACAGCTGACCCCAAGTGACCAAAGGGATATTCCACACCATATGACATTATGCTCAGTAATAAAATTAGGGGTAAGTTTGTCAGGGCTGCACTCGGGAACTGGCTGGGCATAAGTCCACTGGTAGTGGGCAATTGGGTTTTGTGAGGGGTTTTTTGTGGTTTCTTTGGTTTATTGGTGTTTTTCTTTTTTTTTTTTAATCACTTGTTTTTTCTAGTTTTTCTTTACTTTTGTTTCCTTTTTTTACTTACTAAACCATCTTCATCTTAACTCACTTTTCTCACTTGTACCCTTATGATTCTCTCCCGATCCCACTGGGGAAGAGTAACTGGCTGGG